TGGACTGTGTGGCAGTGGATGTTTAAGCCACTGTCTGAGATGGACAGCTGGACGGTCCCTCTCTGTCCTGGTCTGAATAGGAATGAGGGGTCTGACGCTCCCCCAGAGCCAGAGCTTTGGTTCACACCTCACCGTCTGCTCAGCCTCCCATCTGGTCTCAGCCACTCTGTGGCCACAGTGACCGCAACAAGGGATCTGACCATGTCACTCCCCTGCTGAAAAACTTTCGAGGTTACCTATTGTCTGGAAAGATCTGAGCTCCTTAGCCTGGCAAATAGTCATCTACAGTCTGACCCCGTCTACCTTCTGTCTCCATCCCTTGGCACTCTCTACTAGCTACAGTGAATGATAATAGTAACAGCAACAAACAACAAACAACAGCTAACGCACAACATTGATGTGTGCCAGGCAGTGTCCCAAGAACTTTACATATACTCACTCATGTAATTCTTAAGTCGAAAAACATGGCAAATCTTGGACTTTCTGGAATGGGCCATATTCTCTTGCTCTCAGATCTTCATAACTTCAGGTTTCTTGTTCTGGTAACCAGCTGTCCTTCCAGCCATGTGATATGTATTTATAGACCATCAGCTTGTGCCAGACCCTGTACTAAGTGCCCGGGATCCCCATAGGAGTGAGATGTGTACGGGCCCTCAATGCATAGTCTAGTGTGGGAGACAGATCCATGAAGAGTCAGTAAGTGCAGTGACAGAGAGGATGGGGGCACAGAATGAGCCCTAATCCAGCCTGGGGCCTGCCAATCTGGACCACTGGAGCTTTACCCTCTCCAGGAAGCTTCCCTGACATTGCCAGGCTGGCTGAGGTCCCTCTTCTGTGCCCCTACAGTCCCTTCTCTGCCCGCATCACACACCGACCACTGTGTATGGGGAGAGTCTGTGTGGCTGCACCCTCCTGAGCAGAGTGAAGGCAAGAACAGTCTGACTCATCATCGATACAGCACCCGAGGCAGCCTGGACACAGATCCTTAGGATTTGCTGAATAGAAGTGCGTGAAGGATGAAGAGTCACAAAGAAGGGCATCCTCCTCTTAGGTTGTTCTCTGATGCTCTCCCCAGAGACAGGCCTGATCTTATTCCCTTTCCTGAGCCTGGCTCAGGTCCCTTAGCCCAGAAGACACCCCAGGGTCAAGCCCTGTGCATAAGGCTGGGGCTGCTGCCTTCATTAACTGGTTCAGAAAAGGCCACACCAGAATGGGGGCCCAACCACCCCCAGCCAGGTTGGAAGCATCTGCCCCAGGCTCCTGAGGAAGGAGCAGTATTCTGGGTAGGTCTAGTCTTGGGGGTAAGAGGGAAGAGGCCCTGCAGCAGCCCTCAGAAGCCCTGAGTGGTTGGGGTGGGGTGGGGGTGTCTCTGAGAGTTTCTTTGGTTCCTGAGCCCCTTCTGAAGCCTCTGGGCTATGGGATCCGTGGATGCTATGATGAAGGGCTTAAGGAATAAATGACTCTAGAGTGGTCTCTAGGGGTATTTGAGGAATATTCCAGGAAGCCTTATGAGGCCTGATGACAGCTCAGGCTGGCCCCTTGGACTCTCACTGGGTTAACATAGCTCTTTCTCCCCAGAGCTATGGAGTGGCAATCATGGGCCCTCCTAGAGGGGTTATGAATCTCAGAGCAAGGACCTGAAAGGACTTTCCCAGGCAGAGTGGTTGGGAAGGTCTGGCCCCCACTCTCTGCTCCTTGCCTCGAAGCCCATCTTGGCTCATGGTGCCTCTGTATGGGTGGGGCTGGGGGCAGGGAGCCTTGGGGGCTGATGCTAACAGCTTTGGACAGGGTGGGAATTTCCATTCCTATCTAGGCAGCCATCAACGCTGTGTGCCCTGACCTGGGCCTTTGGCCTCCAAAGGGCAGTGGGAAGGCCGGCCCCAGGGCCAATCCCTGGCCATTAATCCCTCCTGCCAGCCTGAATATCCACCCAGCGTGGTCAGACAAAGGACTGCCCAGCCCAGCCACTGTGTTCCTCCCGCCCCAGGGGCTCCACTCAGACGCTGGGCCGCCTGGAATCCAGGCCCATGAGAAAGGGGCCGCCTTCACTGGCCATCTTATGCCCGGATGCTCAGTCGCATCCCGTCCGGCCCAGGGCCTATGAAAAGAGGGCCCAGCCACGCTGAAAACACGGATTAGCCCTTGCCCACCCCCACCCCCCCCCGACACCGGCCTGCTTGGCTCCGGGAAGCAGGCCCAATGGAGGGGGCCAGGCAGGCACAGAGAACTGGAAAAGTCTGGGTTCTCACCCCTCTGGCCCCATTCCCTGCCCCCACCCTCCACAGGATTAGCATAGCTAAGTGCACATTCAATATCATTTATTGAACATATACTATGTCCCAGGCTCTACACATGGATTGGCAAATTGAAAGTACAAGAAAATTACAGTCAGCCATGGAAGGTAATTAGAGCCACTCTCCATAACCCCCCACCCCGTCCCCACCCCTACCAAATCCATAGGGGTGAGAGAGGTTGTGGTAGGGGCCTTCAGAGGGGCCTTTGGCCCCAAGGGAAGGTAGGAAAGACTGTAGCTCTGGTTCTGTGCCTGAGTCCAGCTGTAGGATTATGCTGCACCCGGTTGAAAGTATGCAGGCTCTGAAATCACTTCTTGGACTGCCTCTCTCCTTCCCTTCCTGCTTTAATACTGGAAGTGCAGGAAAAAAATCTCCTGTTACCAAGTGCCATTGTGGGCCAAGCACCTTTCATACATGATCTCATCTGAATCTCCTAACAATGTGGACAGGGCTCATTATTGCCCCCATTTGGCAGGTAAGGAAACTGAGGCTGCAATGAACAGCTGGCCCCAGGTCACGTGGCTCTTGCAGCTGGATTGCCTGCTGCTGCAGTTGCTTGTCTTGTCTTCCTTGAGCTGTTCATGGCGCCCGCGCTGTCTTGTGTTCTGTAAGGCCTGTGCTCAGGCAGTTCTCCACAATGCAATGTGGAGAGGTCACAGGGGCGGAAACTGTGTGCCTACAAACCAGGCTGATCCTCACGATTGTAGGGTTGGGGGGTAGGCTCTCAGTTGCTGAGTGTCACCTCCTCCTTCCCCTCCGCCCGCCTCTCCCATAGCAGTAATTGTCTGTGTCCATCTCCCCACCAGATCAAGAATCTCTTCATCTTGGTCTTCCCTGAGCGCTGGCCAAGGGCCTGGCATGGAAGTGCTGAGTGATGTGGGCTAAACTGAGGCCAGGACACCCGAAGGAGGGGTGGATTTGGGGTCCACAGGGCACTGACAGGACTTGCAGATTGCTGGGATGGAGGGAGTGACGGGGGAAGAGGAGGAGCCCAAGATGATGTTGATTATTTCTGTTCTGGGTGGTGAGGGTCAAGGGCCCATTTGCTGCAATGGGGTTGGGGGTGCACGGGGTTCAGGCCGATGTCCAGTGTACACTGGATATGCTGAGCTGGAGGTCAGGAGAGAGGCTAGGCATCAACTCTGCAGCCAAAGTTGTTGAGAGCTGGAAGAACTCTAGACGAAGTCATTTCTACAATCGCACCTTTAAAATATGGTGTTCTTAGGAGAGTCATGGAGCTGGTGTTAATTCCGGCCCTGCTGCCTACTAGCTGTGTGAACTTAGGAAGGTCTCTTAACCTCTCCAAGCCTTATTTTCCTTCTCTGCAAAACAGAGATTGTAACAGCACTGACCTCACAAGGTGTTTGCACTGAAGTGAGGCAATGCATGTGACGAGTTTGCTGCCAATGAAATACTCAGTAATGGTGGCTGCTACATTATGCAGCTGGAGAGTGGGGGCCTTGAGCTTCCAGTTCGGTTTTGGAAGCCCTTGGCCACAGGCCTGCAGTAGCTAGCTTCGGTCATTTGTACCCCACGGCTCTCCATATCAGGGCCAGAACTGGGATGAGGCATCTAGGGCCCCCAATTTAAGGAGGCCCTGGCTCTCAAGTGCCAGTCCTGCACTCACACCACCCTGAGAGTCAGTGCCCCCTTAAATTTTGGCCTTGGGCCCTTCACTTGCCTCACCTACCCCCAGCCCTGCTCCCTTGATCTTGCCTGTCCCCCAAGACAAGCCTCTTTAACGCAAGCCTTCTTCACCCTTTGGTGCCCTTCAAGCTAGGTCCGGCTCTCCTGTCACTTTGAAGAGATTTCCTGAAATAAGCTCAGGGAGACATCACCTCTGGATGGTGGTAGTAGGTGGTGTTTCCCAGAGTGAGTTTTTAATAAAAACTGCTAAGATACCCCTCCCTCCCCATGAGATGTGAGTGTGGCATTTCTGGGTCAGTAAGCAGTTTTCTCAGATCTCCAGGCGGTGGAAACACTTGGGGGTCTCTCTCTGACCCAGCAACTGGTCCTTGGAACTTTGGGTTGTGTAGGCCTCTGTTTTGTGCATCTCCACAGTGTGTACACTGTGTGTATGTGTGTGTGTGTGAGAGAGAGAGAGAGCGAGAGAGAGAGAGAAAGGGAGCCCTTTCTCTAAAACAGAATGGGCAGGGAGGAGAGGCAGCCGGAAAGGCAACTCCAACTTACAGACTTTCTGGGGGCCCTTGATTTTAAAGCAGCCAGTCCCCTGGTCCCCAAATACGCTAGCTGATCACTTTTCAGGATTTTGTTTTTTCAAAGGATGTTTACAAATGGCTTGGACAGGACAGGGTTGTGTGGGAGGTAGCAGAGAGAGGAGATGGTGACCCTGGAACCACCAAACATACTCTCCTGAGACAAAGCTGGCCTTCTCACTCTGCCATTCCCCCTACCCTACCCTTTTAATGTCCAAGACCAGCATGATGTCAGGATGCCAAAGGCTGGTAAGGTGGTCCTGGGTGGCTCTCATCTCTACCCCAGCTTGGGTAGGAAGGACCTGGAGGAGGCTAGGAGAGAATGATGGAGGGGACAGGACCGGGAAGAGCATAATGGGGAGGGGGCCCCAAAGAGTACACTGAGCAAGTGGATTTGTGATTAGCATTGATCCAGAGAGGAGGGGGTTGAGGGAGAGGCGGAAAGGGGGATGGGGCCAGGACCGGACCGACCCGATGGAGATGGGGAAAGGATTGAGGTTGGGTCTGGAAGGACTGACCCAAAGGGAAGACACCAAGGGAGGGGCGACATGTAGGTGGCGGAGGGCTGTGAGCCTAGTAAGGGGATTGGGGAAGCAAATCAGGGAGGAGGCGCTGGCCGGCGGGGGAAGATCCGAGCCCTCGCCCCCTGGCTGGGGGGGACGGGGGAGGGGGGGCCCGTGTCCATATAAGGCGGGTCGGCGGCCCCTGCTCTCTCCGAGCTGCGCGGGCAGGGGCAGCCGCATCCCAATGACCGGGCGCAGCGACATGGAGCCGCCCGCCGCTTTCTCGGGCTTCCCGGCCCTGCCCTCGGTCGCGCCGTCGGGGACGCCGCCGTCGCCGCAGGCCGGGGCCAAGCCGGGGCCGGAGCCCGAGGAGGCGGCCGCGGGCCGCGGGGAACCGGAGCCCGCCCCCGCGCCGGGCCCGGGGCGGCGGCGGCGGCGGCCCCTGCAGCGCGGGAAGCCGCCCTACTCGTACATTGCGCTCATCGCCATGGCGCTGGCGCACGCCCCGGGCCGCCGCCTCACGCTGGCCGCCATCTACCGCTTCATCACCGAGCGCTTCGCCTTCTACCGCGACAGCCCGCGCAAGTGGCAGAACAGCATCCGCCACAACCTGACGCTCAACGACTGCTTCGTCAAGGTGCCGCGCGAGCCGGGCAACCCGGGCAAGGGCAACTACTGGACGCTCGACCCCGCGGCCGCCGACATGTTCGACAACGGCAGCTTCCTGCGGCGCCGCAAGCGCTTCAAGCGCGCCGAGCTGCCCGCGCTGCCCGCCGCCGGCCCGCCGCCCTTCCCCTACGCGCCCTACGCGCCCGGCCCCGCGCTGCTCGCGCCGCCGCCCTCCGCCGCGCCCGGGCCCTCGCCGCCCGCGCGCCTCTTCAGCGTCGACAGCCTGGTGAGCCTGCAGCCCGAGCTGGCGGGGCTGGGCGCCCCCGAGCCGCCCTGCTGCGCCGCGCCCGACGCCGGCGCCGCCTTCCCGCCCTGCCCGGCCGCCGCCTCCCCGCCGCTCTACTCGCCCGGCCCCGAGCGCCTGGGGCTGCCCGCGCCGCACCCCGGCCCCGGCCCGCTCCCCGCCGAGCCCCTGCTGGCGCTGGCCGGGCCCGCCGCCACGCTCGGCCCGCTTGGCCCGGGGGAGGCCTACCTGAGGCAGCCGGGCTACGCGCCGGGGCTCGAGCGCTACCTGTGAGCCGCCGCAGCGGCCCGGCCCGCGCGCCCCGTCTCGGCCCCGCTCGGCTCGGCTCGGCCCCGCTCGGCTCGGCTCGGCTCGGCTCGGCTCGGGGAGCGAGCGCACCTGTGACGCCTGGCTGCCCCCGTCGCGGGCACACTCCCGCGGTCTCTCCACAGGACCGCCCCCCTGCCCCCCATCCCCCCACTCTCACCTGTGAGCCCCCCTCGGGGCGCTCCCGCCGGCGCCATATGGGGTCCCGAGTCCCGGAGCTCATCGCCTCCAGTGAGCTTCCCTCCCCAGCTTCTTGGTGAGCCCCGAGCCTTCGGAAGCCAGACCTTCGCTCTCAAGCCGCCTCCTCGACTGGCTCCAAACTTCTTCCGCCTTCCCTCGTGTTTTCACAACACATTAGAGGTCAGACTCCTGGGTTCCTGACTCCTTTGCTGTCTTCCCTCCATTTCCCCACAAGTTTGCCCCCAGCCCCACTTACCTGTGTGTCCGCACCTGTCTTACTGGGAGGGAGCGCCCCTTCCACACAGACGCACCTGGCTGCGCTGTTCCAGCCCCTGCGGACAGTTCTTCAAGATCTCTGAGACGAGCAGGACCAGGGGCTCCTGACGGAAAGGGGGGCTAGTGGGCTGCCCCACCATCTGGAACACGTAGGACTTATTGGGTTATTTTTTAAATTAAAGCTGGTTTGATTAAAAAGAAAGAAGAAATCTTCCTCTGGGCTCGGTGTGCTGGCTGGTGACTTGGGGAGTGATCTGGGAATATAGGGGGTGAGCTTTGTGTGAGATCTTGGGTTGCCACGGGGTGAGCCCTTTGTCAGTTATCAGGCAAAGTTTCATGAAGTAGGATTAGGATGTAATTAAGCCATAGCTGTGCACATAGTGGGCCTAGTAAAATGCTACCACTTGCTGCATCCCAGACACTGGTAGAGATGAGATGGGGTGTGCACATGATTGTTTTTGGCTAAGGGGGTTTGTCCGCTGTGTGAGATTATTCCCAGCTCCCACGGATAAGGGAGCACTGGCCACTCCTCTAACAAGTACTTATTGAACGTGCCAAGCACTGTTTAGGCACTGGAAATACATCACTAAGCAAAAGGGCAAGATCCCTGCCTTATGGGGCTTATGGATCTGTGGGGAAGAGACATTGCCAATCAGTCCCCAGAGATATGAGATAAGTGCTCTAGAGCCTTGCACTCAAACTGTGGTCCACAGACCTTCAGCATCACCCGGGAGCTTGTTAGAAGTGCAGAATCTCAGGCTCTGCCTCAGACCCACTGAATCATCAGATTCTGCATTTTAACAAAATTCCCAGGTGATTAGTATAAATAGTATTCTGAAGGAAAGGCACTGGATCAAGGCCGGGGGCTCGATTTAAAAGGCTAAAGCTCCCTACTTTAAGAAAGGGGGACCATGAACCACATGTTTCCCCCGCTGAAATTCTGGAGCTGGACTCTGCATCAGCATCTATGCCTCCTGTTCTACCTACCTTGCTAGGTTTGAGTTGAGGCAGCGGGAACCTGAGCCGGTTACGGACTGTCCCCAGCACCACGGACAGGGCAGCACCAAGGAGAGACTCAGGGCTGCAGTTTGAGGGAGGTGGCCTTTGACCCTGTCTTGCTCCCTAGTGCTGACCCAAATGCTAAGCATCGGGATTTTCCAAGCTCTCCTGCCCTGGTACTGCCAGTCTAGTGGGGCCTGGATTGGGCGTCGGGGAGTGGGATGATGTGTCTTGAGTCCAGGGTGAATGTGATTTGCATGTTGGATGTTGGACATGCCTGGTGCACCTCTCTTAGTTACAAGAATTTAAAGTTCTCTAGTGGTGGTGGAGGGTGAGGGTGGAGACGCAGCAGCTTCTAGGGGAGAAAGGGCAGGAAATCTGAGAAGGCAGGGAAGGCCCTCTTTGGTGGTAGGACACTGGGTGCAGACTGTGTGGTATGAAATGCGCTGAATAGACACCCTCCTTCAGCTATTAACACCTTTGAACATGAGTCAGAGCTAATTTGCCTGAAGCATAGCAGCCCTTCACTTAATATGTGGATTGACGGACTCCCTAGTGTCTAATGTTGTGCCTGACTTCCTGAATAATGACTGGGTTGACAGTACTTTGGCACCTTCTTATCCATTTCCACTTGCAGTCCTTGCAATGACCTGCAAAAGACGCAAAAGAGGTGGAGGCTATCTCCCCATCTGTCGGATGAGAATTGCCCCTCTCTGGAGCCCAACAGGCAGCAAATATCCAGCCTGCCTGTTCTCTACAGAGTAGAGCTCCACAAACATCAAAATGTAAACTTTCTTCTGTTCCAAATGGTGTTACAGCCCCTCCTCCTGCCTCAGAGTACCTCTTGATAAAATCCTCCAAATCCAAGAACTGTGCAGGGAAGGGGAGAACCCTTCTCAGTCTGTTGAAGCCAGGAAGTGCCTTGTGAGCTCTGATTTCCATTCTTGCCACTGCCCTGCAGGTCTCTGTCCCCAGGATCTTGGAACTCTGAGGACTAGGTGGGAAATGTCTGTACAGAAATACTAGAAAGGTCACTGCTGAACTAGAAAATCAGAGAAATTTTTTTTTATGCCTCTTTAATCTTCCTTTTTTCAACTGCATCAAGCACTTGCTTTGTGTGGCTGGGCCCTATGCTAGGCTCCTAGGCCAATACAGAATCAGATTTGAGACTGTTTATGCCCTTACAGAATATGCTATTAGTCATAGAGTGCACTAAGAATTTTGACATTTTGGTGGATGTTGAACAAACAAAAACAAAAGCCCTAATCCACCTCTGTCTTTAAACACCAATCAGGGGCGCCTGGCTGGCTCAGTCGTTTAAGCATCTGCCTTGGGCTCACTCAGGTCTTGACTTGGGGTCCTGGGATCGAGCCCCACATTGGCCTCCCTGCTCAGTGAGAGTCTGCTTCTACCTCTTCCTCTGCCCCTCCCCCTACTTGTGTGTTCTCTCTCTCAAATAAATAAATAAAATCTTAAAAAAAATCAAAAGCACCAATCACTTATCTAGAAGTAAGATTTCAAAATTATTCTCCCTGCTCCCTTTTTGGAGAAAATAATCTGAATAGAGCCTTCAGACACCTTTTTTTTTTTTTTAAAGATTTTATTTATTTGAGAGAGAGAGCATAAGCGATCATGAGCAGGGGAGAAGGGATCATGACCTGAGCCAAAGGCAGATGCTTAACCGACTGAGCCACCCAGGCACCCAAGCCTTCAGACACCTTCAGTTAATACTTCCCCCTTCATTCTTGTAGAAAACTAGAAGTCATTTTTTAATCTGAAGACACATTTTTGACACTTAATTTTTGTTTTTATTAAATTGAAACAAGAATATAATCAAATAGCAAAGTCCTATGATAGTGCCTTACCCACTCTCAGGATCCCTGTTTTGTTCCCTAGAAACATCTACTTTCAATTCCTGTTTGTCTCCTTTGGAATATACTTTCACATTTCCATGCTTATTTTTTTTAAAGATTTAATTTATTTGACAGAGAGAGAGAGAGAGAGGCAGACAGAGGGAGGGAGAAGCAGGCTCCCCACTGAGCAGAGAGCCTGACGTGGGGCTCCATCCCAGAACCCTGGGATCATGACCTGAGCTGAAGGCAGATGCTTAACCATCTGAGCCACCCAGGCGCCCCCACATTTCCATGCTTATACTCCTCTCTCGAAACAGTGATGATTAGCTTCCTATTATAATAATCATTTACCTCTAAAATTGTTATTTCTTTCCATCCTTGACAAACTACCCGATTTTAGCATTTACATCTTATTACCATGTAAATACTGATCTGTGATAAACTGCTAATGTACCATGCCTTTTTTTTTTTTTTTGGTGCAACTTTTAGTTTTTCCTGGAGTCAGTGCCTTATTTTTTTCATTTGCTTAGCTTTCTTTGTACCTATGACTAAGTCTTCCTGTGTCTTCCAAAAGCCTTGTGGTACACTTTTTCACAATGTCAAACTTACCAGGAAATCTGTCATGGCTTTTGGTGGTTGTATTTTTCCTTTCCTGGGGGCATCTCTCCCAGAGTTCTCTATCCTCCAGATCCAGTCTGGGCTGATTGCTCTCCATGTCTGCTGCACAGATGTGGACCTGAATTTCCCTTCACTGTTATCCTTAGGATTCCTTGGAATTCCCTCCATCTCTATCTGGTATTGAATCCTCTGCTTCCTGGATCCCACATCTTCCTTTTTCTTGGTTTATTTCTTTATTTCAGTTGAGGCAAATTTGGGGGGATATTTTGCACATCTGAAATTAAGGTGATTATTGTAGTATGAGAAGCTAAGTGTGCACTTTGACAATGAAATGGTTGGGTCAAAGCTGTGTCTTTGTAGACTTATTTTGGGGGGTTGAGGAAGAGGGGAATGGGAGGTTGTTATATGGGTTCAGTATATGCTATGTATGGGGAAGCTGGGAAGGTGGCTCAGTGTTATGGAAATGAGGGGTGCATGTTTTGGCAGGAGGATTAAGGCAGGGGGCAGTTCTGAGTTCCTTCCAGGAATATATAGGTGAGCTGAGAGGGCTGCCTCCCAACTTAGGGGGACTTGGGACACTGGAAGGATGGCTTTGGGCCCAGGATGGTGCTGAGCTGGTTAGAGGTCTGTTGGAACCAGTTCAAGAAAGTGGCCAACATCACCTGGGCACAGGGAAAATTGAGTACATAGGAAAGTGACCTCCTTGGAAGGGTCATAGGTAAGCAGATCAACAGAGAGGCTCCTTTGTGCAATTTTTCATGCCCGTGGGCTTCACTTGGGAAGGCAGAGGGGAAAAATGCACAACATGGAAAACCCTCTGCTATTAGTGACTGGGTTGGTTTTAAGCCCATGTGAAGTACTTCTCTGGGAGATGAGGTTGGAGAGGATTTTGCAAGATACAGGAGGCTACAGTGGTCTTCTTTTATTTATTTATTTATTTATTTATTTATTTATTTATTTTAAAGATTTTATTTATTTATTTGACAGAGAGAGAGAGACAGGGAGAGAGGGAACACAAGCAGGGGGAGTGGGAGATGGAGAAGCAGGCT